GAATTCCAATGCATTTGATGATGGTGCAATGGTCAGAGGAGATGCCAGTGATGACGGTTGAACGTCCCTTTGCCTTCCCAGCCCCCTTCATATATTCTCAGGCATAGGATGACAAAGGGAAGTCCACGGGTCACATGAACAGATATTGTCGACATAACGCCCTGCCCAAATTGCCTTCTCTACCCAATCAAATCACCCAACTTTATCCATCAATTTCTTACTCTGAGGCAACTTTTTCTCATAGGCCTACCAAAACTCAACTACATTCACCATCTCTATAAAGAAGAAAGATTAAATGCAAGGACACAGGTACCAATATCTGTGGTCTGTCTGTTTTCAAACAGCATACCATAGAGGTAGGGCAAACCTTCGGCACCAAACAGCATGTTTAAAATAAGAACAACTGCAGACTGATAATGATTCAACATGAAGCCCTACTTGGCCTAGGAGACAGTTCTTCCAGAAATGTACTAATGAAAAGAAGAGTAAGAATATTACAAGAATACACAACCTAAGGATTTGGTGTGGTAGTCTTTCTAAGAAATACCAACATGCTTCAGTGTGTGGGACTGTCTGAGCAGTGCAGAGGGATTCTTGGGAAAAATACACAAATGTTTGATTGGTTTTTTTTTCCTTTCTATTTTTTTGAGGGAAATAAAACCCAAACCACTGAGATCTCTAGAGTTTCTAGAAAAGAGCATGAGGCACCAGCCCTTAGTAAAGCAGTGATGCAGAATATGTATTTTTTTTGTTGTTTTCATATGGGGCAGAGAAAATGAATCACAATGTAAGTAATACTTAAGGTGTTAGTGTTGCAGAAGGAGAGTGGAAGATGAAAACTAGTCTTGAAGCTCATTATATACTTCTGTTGTGGCAACTTTAACATAAATGGACATTTAGCTTTAACATAAATGTATACTTTGTTCTTCAAAACCTATTCCAGAAGGGTGGCTGACTGCATGCAGATGAATTCCTTCTGATCTATATCCCACATCTGGCTTTGAAGAAGAAATAATTTTTTCCATTTTCTGGATCTGTAGTCTTCAAAAAGGGCTAAGAGTGTGTTTGTTAGAGGAATTTATACTGATACAAACTACACCAAACTACTCATTATATTCTGTTTTTTTGAAGGAGTCTACTTGAAATTAAACATGCATTGCCTTTATGACCTCTGTTTTAACATTCTGGCTTCAAATATGTCTTTTAATATCTTCATTTCTAGCTTATTTTGTGTCTTCTTGAAAAAGAACTATTAAAAATCTCACAAAGGGATTTTTTTTCTGCATAACTATTCCTGAAGAAGGTGGTATCTAGTTGTATGAAGAACAAGGAGTTTTCATAGTGAAAAATGTCTTCCCCTCTCATCAGCAAAGTCTGGACTCCTGCTGTCTAAGTGGCATTATATATTCTTGTTATCTTCACTCCTCATAATAGTAAGTCCTTTTGACTCATCACTACTCTTTCCTTCTCTGAAGTTCTGTCTCGATACATTAAAATGGCAGAAACCCAAGTAGTCCAAGCTGCCAAGTAAAATAGCCTCTTTTAAATCATTTGAGCAAACATTAGACCTTTTTATATTTTAATCCATGATGGTAGCTGTTAACCCCACTGCCTCACTGGTTGGACTTCACCTATTTCCAAAGCAAATTTTAAGGATGTAAAATCTCTGTCAGAGAGTTACAGAGAATAGAAAATTTTGGCAGTATTCTGACCAAGATTTAAATCTTTGGGCAGATGAAGCTTTCAGTATAAGAAAAATGTCTGGTCTTAAAAGAATTATGTCATTGGCACATGACGAATATGTTTTCAAGGCCATTTATCAGCTTTGCAAAAACACAAAAAAGCTTATTCTGCCCTTCTAACTGCTACTGAAAGTACAGCACTCCTTTCTAACACATGCCAAACACAATTTTTATTACTGATACCTATGTGCTGATACATGCAAGACAAAGAAAATTATGATATATTTCCCCAAATAGTTACGCATACACAAGAGGATACTATGGCATACTATGTAAGTGCATACTATGCAAGTGCATACTATGCTATGCGATGCCATGCTATGCTATGCATCCAGATTCTGATTCTGCTGACAGATAACTATACTTGTTCTTCTAAAGAAAAAATTTATAACATTCCTAAATAATTCACAACCTCTTTCATTTAAATGAAAATCTTTTCTATAGGCTATGTGCAATCATTTTAGGTATATAAATTATTTGTGTCCTTGTCTTTCTCCATGACTCCAGTAAGATCATTTATATAGGCATTTGTGATGAAAGTGCTGTAGGCTCTTTAAGGATTGAATAATATTTCAGTTAGTGGTAACAATGCAGTTAATAGTAACATCTATACCACACGAACTGAAAGCCTTAATGCAAACCGGAGGAATGAACATCATATTATAAAAACGCAAACATGAGTGCAGAGCCAAAATGGGGAAAATTTAGGCAGGATTTTTGAAGATCCTGTAAGTACTGATAAAGGGTCTCTTTATGTAATAAGAAGTAATTCTAGACCACGCTCGTTAATGAGAAAGCATTGTTCTGGCTAATCACAAAATCGGTAAAACCCACAGCATGTCAACCTATTGGAGTGACTTTGCCTGAAAGTGATTAACAGTCCTCAGATCAAACCTATTAGCTGAGCTGCTATGCTGGCAATTATTCTAATTAACCATCTGTGGAACAGCAGAAATGAATATTTTATGACTTGCATATGAATATGAATGACTTGTAACTTCCAATGCACATTTTGCTGGTAGATTTCTTTGTTTTCTGGGTGGAGATAAGACTGATGTACCTATTGTGTTACTCATCAATGCTCTGCAGAAGTGATGACGATGTACATCTTAGTAAATAACTGGGCCATTCTAGTACACTTCATAGACATGCTTTGTTAGTATCCAGGAATGTCATAACTGGAGAATTTGCAATACGTTATCTCTTGTAATTAGAGGTTTTGTTTCTTTCCTTTCTCTGTTTACAGGTTACATGATCTGTTTGGTGATACATGAAGTTGTCTTTCTGTACTTGCCACTACTATGTTACCAGGATGGGAAAAAAAAGGTTAGCTGCACTTTCACATCATGTGGGATCATAAGATATTAATTGATTTCTAATCCAATACCAATGATATTTTTTGGTTCTATCTCTTTTGTTTAAAACAGTTTCTTTTAAAACATTTGCACCACTGTGACCCATTGGAAAAAGGTTTAAGTATACAGTATTTGGGAGAAAGCAGTTCCAAAGGGGACAAAGACTTCCCTGGCATCAGGGGGAGGAGGAAATATATTGTGTATGGGATTCTAGAGAAGCTAAGAAATTCTCAACATTTTAAAAGTATATTGATCCCTATTCCTTCTTAGTAAAATTGAGTGTTGAAACATAAGACTTTAGAACTGTTTTAAGCAAGGGATACTGTAGATGAGAGAAGCTTATTTTATGGTGATCTTCCCAACTTCAATTTCCTGCAAAAAGTCCAGGACTCAAATATTTGCATGAATTGGAAACCAGAAACATTTCTGATTAGCTGACCTTCAATATTTCCTTTTGATCTTGAAACAGGTTTAGAAAAGTCCTTTTCTGACTACAAAATGATGTGCTTTGAAACTTCAAGAGTTTGAGACAACTTGTGGCTCAACACAAGAGATGGCTGCTGGGCTGTGTTAATATGGCCCTCACTTGTGAAAATGAGAAAGACCTGCCCTGAGCACTGAAGCATCAAATTAACCTCTAGCTAAATGCACAAGTGAGTGACTCTGTCCTGAGACTGCAGACTCAGACTGACCCACAGATGCAACTGTATTCTCTCTCTACCTGGAAAGCATTTTTAAACTCCTGAATATTTGCTGTGGACCAAACAAGAGCTATGGGAGAGGTAAAAGCTAAAAAGGTAGAGTAGAAACAGAGAATTCAGTGAAGTCTTTTCTCTAGTGTTCATAGGCAGCATAAGGCAAGCTTTTTATTATTTCATTCAGGAAATTAGATACTGCTGAATGGCTGAGAGTGATGCCATATTAGGAACAAAAACAGCTGAGTCTTTCAGAATTATCTGGCATACTTAATGACCTGTTTTAATCCAAAATTTTGTAGAAGAGACTGCCACTGTCCTAATCTATTTGAAGGGCATACTGTTTTCTATGTCTTTAATAGGTGAGCCTAAGCTTGAAGTTTCCCCTTTGTGAATAGTGTGTGATCCCAAACATCCAGGACAGCTATCCCTGCACTGGAGAAAGATACAGTTGAAGCTAAGGAAAGTAAATAAGAAGAAATGACAAACCTAGCATGTAAAAGCCAAGCAGGCTTAAAAATAAGAACAAAATCTACTTTGAGCACTATTGTCCAGGGACAGGCTGTGAAATAAGGAGTTACCAACTGTTTATTAGTTCCTAAATCTGTTCTGTTTTCTAGCCTTCTGGTCTTTTGTTTTGTGATTAACAAAAAATTGTATCTTTTCCTGATTCTCCAGCAAACAAAAGTCTGATGCTGTCAGTGTTTTTCCTCGCTCTGCATGCTTACTACTGGAAAATGGCAAGTAAGGACACAGATGCATGGCTGCACACATTCCTGGTTGGATGAAGATGGCTTTGCAGCAGTGCCCCTGCACACACAGGGCCAAGGATCTCCACTGCTCTTGTAGGAATGAGGGTAAGGAAAGGTATCGGAAAGTTGCCATCTGTTTGGCTGACCCAACAGGGCAGGTGGTTCTTCCCTCATCCATATGGTCACCCTTCTATTAACTAGAGTCCTGGGCAGGACTCAGTCACCTTCTTTTAAAAGAAAGGAAAACAAAATGTGGCGGAAACATTCTGGATGTCACTGGACCAAGATGTACAAATCTTATCAGCAACTTTTCTGGGTTTATTAGCTCTCACTCACCACTTTAGACTACTTTAGACAGTGAGACACCCAAAAATATGCAGACTTATTGCCTATTTAAGCTCATACCATCTTTGATATATTGCAATTATAAAACAATACAAGGAAAATGTTACTCACTTGTATTTATCTTCTGAAGGGAAATGTGCTTTTCCAACTGTCTACGAAGTTTCACCTCTGCTCCATATTTACCAGTAGTGCCATTGTCAGCCAAAATAAAATGAGAATGCATACTGTTGAGCACTGTCAATTTACTCATGGGATTGGACATCGTTTGGTATGGTCGAACCACCTGCATTTTAGAGACAGAGGGAAAAAAAGCATGTGCTAAACAGAAAAGACACTCTGAACTAAATCAGTTATAAGATACCAGCTGATAAGATGATATAAAAGAAAAAAAAAGTTTAAGTATTGCTGTTGGACACTGCTTTCTTCTATTTGTAAAGTAGAAAATAACCTTACCAGTTAAACCAATATGGCCATCTCTTGTAAACACCGAGCTTTTAGACGCAGACACCACTTAAAGGGACACCACTTAAAGGGTTTTCCATGGTAGCTTGTTTAAATGGCATCAGTGGCCACTGTTTCAGTGTTATCCAGCTTGTGTTCAGTCCTCCAAAGGTCTGTGCAGCAACTACACACGCACTGTACACACTGCCTGCTGATGCTTTTCAATAGCGTTGCTGTAAATCCTCACCTCATCTGGTTGAAATCTTTGCTTCTTCCTTCACAGACTGCACCCAGGACCATGCTGCCTGTTCCAGCTCATTCAGAGCCACCTCAATACACATGAGTTCTAGTCTTGGAGAGGTGTACACATGGTATTACACAATGTTTTCAATTTCCTTGGAAAAAACCCTATTGGCCAATAGTACAAAAGCAGTTGCTTGCATTCATAACAGCTTTAGAAAGTTTCCATTCAATGGGGAGTTTGCTACACTTCCTTTGATTTGTTTTCATCAGGAGAAACTCTTCTGCAGACATACAGAGTCAATTGTGGCAGATTTATCCACTCACAGCCTCCAGATAGACAAATAATAGCACAGGGCCACATTTAGCCATCTGCTACTTCGATAGGTCTCCAGTGACACAAGTAAGACTGCACTGATGTGGCAAAAGAACACTGGTATTGTGCTGAGGGATCCTGGCTGGTCATTCAAAAACATTTGCTAGAAATATTGCCCCCTGCATTGTTTACGTATGTCTTGTCTTTTTGGAAAGACAAACTCCTGAAAATTTGTAAAATGAAGTCCTAGCTGAAGAAATCCTGAAGTGACTGGTTACAAAACTCAGCTGGGCTATACTTCATCTGCAAGGAATTTTCGTCACAGTTCTGGCATGGTTCATTTTGCAAATCTAACAGAATCTTGCCGTTTTAGTGCCCAAAACTGTACACCACTCATGTTTTGAACAAAAGTGCTTGCAGACAGAAATATATTAACTTGCTAATTTCTTCCTAAGGTTCACTCTTTTTTTTTTTTTTTTATTCTGAGGAGCTCTTTAATTGAGATGTAAATCTTTATAAATAATATGTGCTAGTAATTCTTTGGCCAGAGATATCTATCTCTATTATTTTCACTTGCAAATGCTTGCAGCACTTTGGTCAACTCTTGGGGCTGGCAAGAGGAAACCCACAGAATTCTTTTGCTGTTGTAAACTGTCATCCAGAGGGTACTCTATAAGCTTCTATAAGTCCATCTTGCAAAAGGGAAGTCTGAGAAGGACAAGAGGGTAACTGGCCCCCAGCAAGACAGTGCACTGCACTGTGAGAACAGGTGATAGCTTTGGTTCAAGTTTCTTTTGTACTGTTTCTTTTGGTGCCCCATTTATAAAACATTTATTCTACAGGCACATGTAGCTTAACAAATATCAATACATTGCTGGAATGTGTTCATTTACTGGCTTCTACATACACAGAAACCATGCATCCACAGTGAGAAAGAAAAGGATGGTTCTTTCTAACATGCTTAAGTATCAAATCAAATCAAACTAAAACAGTTACAGACTTTTTAAACTGATACCTACCACACCTATCAATACATGGAGGGCACAGGCCAGCAAGATCTGATAAAAGAATGACTTGAGTTGCCCATTTATTATATGGTTACAAGCCACTGTGCATGCAATTCTACCGGCAGCTTGTGGTTTGTCCCTGAGAACCACAGCTCAAAACCTTCTAACAGAGACAGCTTGATCTGCAGTCCTAATGAGCTGCAGCAACAAAGGAGCTGCACACTGACTTAGTAATGCCACTGCAGGGCAGATTAGAAGGCTACAGTTTGGTTCTCTGTCTGTTGTTTAGCTACAAGGTGAATAATATTATTAATAAATTTTATAAATGTCAAACTGAGAATGAGAATACAATTATTTCCAATTGAACTGTTCACAATGTGCACAGTTCAACAGCTGAAACACTTTTTTTTTAATAACAAATTTCACAAAACACACTGTCAAACTCTTTTCCTGATAAAAGGATAACAAAAATCCTCAAAAAGTGGAGCCAAGAAAATCCTAGGCTTTGAGGCTATTTCCTTGAGGTGAATTGTTTTTCCACAATGCTCAGCGTATTTTCAATTTCTCACTCTTGCAGTTCCCATTCCTTTGTTCCTTTCAATCCCTTACATTTTACAGGGAAGTTAAAAGGTTGGGAAAACTTTGACTTTAATGTCTTCTCGTCCTCTTTCTGCATTGAGGAGAGGGAATAATGTCCCCTGGCATCTTCATCTGCAGAGTTGAAAGGAAGCATCTATGCTCACGGCAACCCCTCTAAATATAGGTTAATGAATGTGGCAGCAGCCATGCTGTGAAGCACTGCTCACGCTGCACGATGAGGAGCTGGGCCAATCCCCGCAGTTGCCTTTACACCCTGAGGTGTCAGCAAGCTTGAATTAAAAGCACTGATACACTCTGTTTACATTCCTTGTGGGTACGTGACACTCAACAGAGGATCAAGGCTTGAAAAATGGCTCAGGGTAACACACTGTGGACAATGAGCGCGCGTGCGCCGTGCGATCCAGTGTGCGAATCTGAGCAGTCTAGGTGAGGGCAAAGAATTTCCAAAAAATTTAGTGTGTTCAGACTAGTGGTGGAAAAAAGAGAGATGCTTCTCAAAAAGTAGTAGCTGTTGTTCAAATTAAGCCTTCTCTGTAGCCTCCCTGTTCCGGGGTACACCAGGGAGCAGAGTAGTTCCTGGTTTAATTTAGAGGATCCTGGAAGCATCATGATCCAAATTCTCTGTCTATACTGCAAATATGCCAGTCCCCAGCTTTGCCACAGGCATGCTTCCCACCTTGTAGTTTGCAATGAGAGAGCTGAATCTCTTTTCCTTACAGCTTAGAGTAATTATTGCCTGCACCATTCCTGCTAGGGGGCTCTGATACTTTCACACTGGATAAAAGTTGTAGCGAAACAAACTTGTGAACTAACTATTTGTGGTTATTTGTAATCTTTTTTCCCCCAGCAATTCAGTTTATTCTCAAAGAATAACATCTTTCTTGAAGGATAATTGCAATATGACTACTAAGACCAAGTCAAAATTGGTAACAACAAATCCAACATCAATAAAGTAATATACACTTACTAATTAGTTGCCTGAGATTTTTAACTTTTCTCCTTATTCTGAAACCTGCAGAAAATAATTAAAGCAAAACAGAATCTTTCTAACACTGTAAAAACAAGGCAGCATGGGAGACAGAAGGAAGCTCTCTTGTGCTATAAGCTAATGTTACTCGGATTACTATGAAAGAATGAAAAGGAAACACATAGTCCATCTTGGCGGTCTGATGTCCCTGTTGCCTGCTACACACATAGAGAGCAAGCAGTAAGAACGCTGGGCTTTCTGACAAGACTCACCAGAATGTGTTTTAAAGACTGTGGTTTAAAGTACTGAGTTCTGGCTACATGCCTATCAAGTGTGAATGCTATATGATTTTTTTTCATATATGTGAATGGTAAGAAGACACGAATTCTAAGGTGACGCTTATTCTTGAATGCACACTTTTTCTGGTTTGGGTAATATTTGGTAATCTCACGGAAGTAGGTGGTATTCTAAAAACTTGGTACTGGTAGAGTGAAGTCCTTTATAGTGAAGCATTTACAGATGGGATCAGGAAGAAGGGAATGGCCAGGATTTGGGGTGTTGATGAAATTAAGCCTTTCTCAGTTACTTCAGCTGTAATATATAGCAAACAATTCCAGTTCTTTAAGCTTTAAACTTTTCTCAGTGTTTATGTTTTCTGCACCTCCCATTTTCTCTTCTTTCCTTGACTTGCCTAATAACTAGACATTGGCCTCACCTGTGCCCAGTGCCATAAAGATGCATGTTTCCCAAGGTTATGTATCAGTCCTGTTACCAAATTCCAGCATAATACTCATCTTTCTGAAACACTGAGTTATGATGTAATTGAGTTGTTAACTATTAATAATTACCTGGTGGTTCACTACAACATGGAAGGTGCCCACCTTTCCTGAAGAAGTTGTCTCATCTGTTATTGTCCAGGGATTTTGAGAAGTTGATGCTAGCACCTGCTCCATGGCAGGCTGACTTCTAACTTCTCCATTGTGGCCCTGCCCTCTGAAGTGCATACAACCTTCCAGTTTTAAATTTCCTCCCTGTTCCACCATCCAAATCAATGCCAAAGAAAGCTGAAGATATAAATGAGCAAGTAGAGAGAGACTGCAGAGTTCTGTTGTGAATAATCTAAACTGGTACCTTCTGGTAGAAAACTTGTAATACCATTTGTGCATCCAAGAGAAAACTTTGCTGATTAAATGTTCTCAGCTCCAGTTATACTTGTAAAAATTGTGTTACTATAAAAATTGGTTATTCGGAAACTACTGTCTTTAATAAATCAATAGCATTACCTAGCAACACTCATGTTTGGATGCAACTTATGTTTAGTCCAATATAAATTTACCATTTATAAAAAAGGAACAATATTAGCTCCTCATTTTTATGATTTCATCTGTATAGGAGAGTAGGTTTCAAGTAGCAGTACATCCAACAATTTACTTTTTTTTTCCTTTTTTTTTTTCTGAATATTCTGATCAGTACAAATGAACAGGCATCTGGTATCAATGAAGTCCATAAAGACCATCTACAACTGGCAATGATCATGCTTCCAACTTTTAAGGTTAAAAAAATATAATTTATTCTGGAACACGGAATGCATGAAAGGGATGTTTATATATATTATATATATAACATGTATGACCTATAAATAATATAATAAAATCTATGTTATATGATACATTGTTATTATGTATCATTATATGATACATATTTTATGTATAACATATTTGTATGACATATATTCAATATATAGATATAAATTTGCTGTGAGAAAGTAGTTTTCTTTCTGATAACAGTATTTGCTTTTATGTAGCACTTTTATCTGTTTATGCACAGGTCTACAGAGCAGGCTTATATTTTGGATGGTGTGCTCTGCTGCACTAAATGATAAAAGCTGACCATTATTGCTTCCTTTTCACTAGCTAAAGCTTTTTGTTAAAAAAAAAAAAGCATTTTGCCATATTCAAGTTGTTGAGCGTAACAAAAAAATTAATGAAGTAATAGAGGGAGAGAAACACACTATAATCCACAGTTATAATCGTCCTCTGAGTGAGACAAATAAAACTCAAGAAATATGGATAGAGCTTAGGAATTTCTCCTTATGTCAACCTGCTGGATCATGTATGGAAGGATTTTTATGCAGGCATGGAAGAGTGGGTGTAATGGATTTTGTAATGATTCAGCATAGTAGCACAGAAGCTCAATTTTAATTTCAATTAATTCAGTAAGAAAAAGTTGGGGTTTTTTTCTCAAAACTTTAATTACTAAAAAAGTGCATTCTATTTGTTAGTAGGTTATATACTGCAGCATCTTGACTGATCAATGACACATCACAATATCCTGGAAATATTTTCACTGAGTAGCAAAATAAAAGCATATTTTGATTTAAGTCTCAAACACTAGCTTCTTTGGACTAGAAATGGAATTTGCATGATTTCATTAAGCAAAAGGAAAGTACTAAAATCAGTGTTCTCTTTGTAGTCCGGGCACTATTCCTCCTGAGATCACTAGGAATTAAACCCAAATGACTCTGAAGGGAAAGACATGTATGTTTCAAAGACTCATGGAGTGCACTCTTTTAAAAGGAAGAATGGCTCTGTATGTAGCGAAAAACTTGTTTATAACCCAAGTTTTCTACAGGACTGAGCAAGCCACCTTATTTTCTCAGTTCTATCAGAAAATTGGAAATAAGACAACTGACTACCTTTCCCTTGTGTGTTTTGATTTTAAATTAGAATCTAAGCGTGTTAAGAGGGGCACTATTTTCTGCTATATTGCTTTTACAGTACTGGAGTAAGAAGTATCTTTAGGGATTTTAACCATCACAATAGAACAAATAGCAAACAGCAGTAATATTTTGCTTAGCTTGGCCAGTTCTGTTTATGGCTCTGAGGGAAGCCCTTGGGATCCCCAAGAGCTGACTCTTTTGGATGGGCTGGTAAATGTAATAAAACTCCTCAGCTATGACTTCCAGCTACAGGCCAGGCAAGGGCTGGGGCATTAGCAAAGGCAGAGCTCTGCTGAGCACGCCTGACTAGCCACGAGGCACTGGGGGGTAACATGCACTGGGGCATGTGCAACATGGCAATAACCCATGTGCAAGGGGCATGTGCAATGGCAATAACCCTCTCTCCCCTTTTTCCCCTCCCCAAATCCCATGACTAAGACATTTTTCTGTATCTAGCTTATGTTGGAAGGTTATGTTTTGACAACTCTTGAGTCTTGATCATAATTTAACTAGACATAGTGCATATAGGCATAAAGCCACATTGATGCTGGAATTTGACAGGCCTTTTACTATTGGCTGACTCTCTCCCTCCCCGCCCCCCCTCCAATCCTTTGTGGCCTTTGTTTCTTGCTCAATGATGATTCATTTTACATGCTTATGGTAGTATTTATATTTTGCCTTCTTGGTTCATTTCACAGCATTCACCTCTAATGAGCCAGTCAATATAACACACTTTGATTTTCACAAAGCTTTCAAAAAAGCTTCCTCACCAAGTGCTTCTAAAGAAACTGCACACATTGGATAAGGGGGAAAGTCCTTTGAGGGATTAGAAACTGGTGAAATATGGGGGAAAGGGAGGGAAAACAGGAAGAAAAAAAGTTAATTGTTGCAAATACTGAATGATGCTAGAAGATTTATTGTCATAAGCGCCCCACCTCAAGCTGGGTCATGTTCTGTTCAACAGAGTTGTAAGGGATTTGGGGTTAATAAGACTGTGAAAAGCTTACAGACATTTCAGCGGACTATGAAGAGTTAAAGAAAGTCTTCATAAAACAGCCTGACTAGGCAATAAAATGGAGGATGAAATTCAATATTGGTAAACATAAAGCAATATAATTACATGTGCATTAGAGATGAATAAAACCAAAAGGGCTTCAGCATTACGTCATGCCATTGATCAATCATTTTATGAAAATATTAAGAGGCCAGGGGGTTTGAAGGCAAAGTTTCAATTTTTTCTGTAACAGATACATTCTGGAACTATTTTTGTCCTTAGGGATGACCCTGTAAATTTAATCCTACTGATATAATTGTGGCTGCTTTAGTGGAAGACTTCATCCAAATTTGCTTTCTTTACTGGTTTTTGTCACTTTCTGTCTGATGATCAGACTAAATATTAACCTTTTTTGTTTTATCAGAAAGCAAGTAACCATACAAGTTCTTGCTTTCCTGTTAAATTGGAAGGTTATTTAGAGGAATACATCCTCTAAAGAAATCAGAAATCAGGGGAAGCTGTTCCAGTTGGCTGGAACAGCTGAGAAACCAACTTCTTTCTTCAGCTCTTACTGTAAAAGATGGCTCCAGAGCCCCTTTAACAAGTGGTAGCTAGCTGGGATCAGGGGTAGGTATTTTCCCAACGGGTGGAAATAACTAATGCAGAAATAACAGTGTCCCAAAATTCATGACTAATTTGATACCCTTTCTTGCCTCCTCTCTCCTTGCAATGCTTCCAGAACTTCACTCGTAGTCAGTAAAGACTACTCATTTGAAACTGAAGTGTACATTACACTTTTTTAGCAAGATGCACCTCATCTTTGTGACTAGCTATTTCTGCTAGTCACCATCCGCACTGCGTCTCAGAGGAGTTCACTAGTGACTCAGAATTGCAGCTTCAGAGTCCCATACTCTTTGCTTGTATATATTGGTAACCCTATTACACAAGCTCTTGTGGTATTAAGGTACAAAACCCCATGCTAGTACAATTCCCCCTAATGGCTATAATTTAATGGTGAATTGCAATGAATTCCAGTTAGATCAATTTCTTCATACTCATTGTAACTCCTCCTGACCTAACTGATGATTGCATCTTCTTCCTTCCTCAACATGCTGATGGACAAACATTCAGAGAAGAATGGTTTAGAGTAATGCAGACATGAAAAAAAATTAATTATGCAGAATGCATATTATAATTCTTCTCCACTCTCAGTTAGCCACTGGTTCTCAGGCAGAGTTCTTGTCAATAAGCCAGAGATGAGGAAAAAACCGGGCTCAGAAAAGCTCCAGGTAACATATAACTGGTGCAAGTAAACTATTAAAAGTACTTAAAATCAGGGGTTAAAATCAGAATTTCTGAGTGACAATATAGTTTTATAAGAGAAGAATGATGTGAAAGCATACTAGAAACACTGACTGCTCTTCAGAAGGTGACTGAAGTAATGATTCTTTGAGGTCTGATCTCAATACATTTATAAGACTCTTCATAGCTGTAGTAATAAAAATGTACAGGACAGACTATATTATAAGGGGGACACTCTGCAATGTGAATTTAATGCATCATAGTACTGTTTCAAAATAAAATAGACTTAACACATTGCAATCAGTGTGTTGTTAGGCACTTTTCAGGGTTCATACTGTTCTAAGGATGAAAATTTAATCTGTTTTCAAGAATAGCATTTAATGAAATTTCTTTATAATTTATTTCTAAAGAATGTACAGTGCAGCAATTTTTATTGTTTCTATGTCAAAATTGCTATCAACCATAATGGAAAACCTGTGTATGTATTGATTTTTTGCTGCAGACATTAATTCTATGAGGAAATCTTAAGTGAGGGATGGAGAGGAAAGGAAAAATAACTGGAAGATTTTAATGTATTGGGGGTGATCCATATAGGGCTTACATCTTTGCCAATCAGATCCTCTTGATTTTCCACAATTCCCCAGGGAGCTATACCAATGGTGCAGATCTTCCCTCGAGATTTTGAAGCATGATCTTTCAGTGCATCTCCAACATGCCGAATGACTCCTGGGAAAGAAACAGCATAAAATAGGAATTCATAATTATGTCCTCTTTGTGCATTAAAGTATGGATTTAGCATGGAATTCTTTTTTAGGGAACATTTATGCATTTACTTACAATTAAGTAAAATTTTGAATATATTCCTATTGATGATTATTACAGTAATACTGTATGTGCATTTTATCTAATCTAAAAAATATTAAATGAAGTAGCAAGAAAAATTTAAATAGCCCTAGAAATAAGAATGGAAATGTTTACAGCTTACTGTAACTTGTTTATCTGCACTTGTGTTCACAAATATATGTTCATGTAAGCTTTCGTATTCATTCCAAACACAGAAAGAAGCACGGAAACGAAAAAACCCAAACCAACAACCCCCCCAAAAAGTGTATCTTGCACAGAAATGTTCCCTTCTGTCTGCATAAAGGATGGAAATATGCAAACATCATTATGCTACCCTGTGGTGACCTAGTCTACCATTCTTTCCAAACAAACTCAATCACCTGACATAGTTTCCAGTAGAGTGTTAGAAATCTCCCTGGAGATCAGTGAGAACAGAAACTAGTACAGAGGGAATGACTGCTACCCAGCTCTCTTCCAAATGCTTTCTGGTAACTTCTCTCGGGTGATCTAGGCCAGATTTGTCAGGGTTTCAGTGGTACCTCTGTGGAGAGGACAAGTGCTATTCCTCCTTCCTTTTATAAAATAATTTTTTTACTTGTGTATCAATAACTATTTTTGTTATAGTGGCTGCACTGAAGAACGTCTGTGGATTTGCTACAGATCTTATCAGTTACTCAGTTTCTATATTTGCTTCTTGTTCAGATTCCACAATTCCAAGATGACTGGATTGGAATTACAACTGTCACACAACAGATGTGATTTTAGCCATAGTTTTTCTGCACCATAAATGAAACAAATAAGAAGAAAAACCACAACCTAACAAATCCTCAAAGTCCTGGAGTCCAATTTCCTTCCTGTGGTGGAAAAGGGAAAAAGACCAACTCTGTACCTGCAATTAGCTAAGAAAATCAGCTATGATCCAGTAACCCAAAAGATTCAAAGCAGAAAAATCTCTACAGACTGCAAAAAGTTCTGCTATTTAGAATAATCAATTTTTGGCATAACATGAATATTCAAAACAACTTGTTTAAGTCATTTAACAGTCATGGTTTTAGCCAGGTACGCACCATGCCTGTCACATCGTCGATTCTCAGTTTAACAGCAGTATTCCAGAATTTTTCAATTATACTTTTCCTTAAGAGAGGAATCAACAGAACAGACTGTACCAAGAAATACCCTATTTGTACAATTTCACATAGAGATAAACCCCTTAATTTTCACTTACACAGGTTGAAAACCTAACCCATGAGCAATCAACTGTTTTGCTCCAGAAATCAAAAACAGCAGTAAGAGGTAACTGATAATGCAGAACTACTTTTGGAATAACATGTTTTTGAAATAACACACAGGAACTTGAAGTTCACTGTCTTGTCTACAGAAATTATGCTGAATTTCCCAGTTAATTTGTATTGTTTTGGCATTTGCAACTATGATGATTTGAAAAATGGTACAAAGCAGTCATACAAATGCAAATGTTATAGTCAATGCTTGTTCACAAGATTTCTGTAGTTTGATTTCTACTGTTTCTGTGGTAATCCACTGCAATGACTGTACAACATCTACAGTTTTCTAATGTGCTTTTAACTTAAAATTTTTATCTATCATCATTACTACAGGAGTATCTGGCAACTAACATAACTATTATCATCACAGTACACAGGTCAACATTTAACCTGATTTTCTTCCTTGTCCTGCAGAGATGTGGGGGATGTTACATACATGTAATAGACTCTATCTATCTAACACTCCAGAAGCTATGCTGCTTCTTTACTATTTCTATTGCTGCTGTGATAAAACTGGATATTGTTTTAAATTTGATGTGCTCTGGAAGCTAAAAAGCCCAAGACTCCTATTAAGCATTCATATTCAAATATGTAGGAGTTGATTCACAATGCACTCAAATTAATGCATGACAGAGTGATTACAATGGTTTTCATAGACAGTAAGAGGATATACTCTGTGGGATTACTAAAGCCATAAATTTTATCTTTGTTACTGTAGCAAATGAGAATGACATAAGAATTTACATGTACAGTTCAAAATTTTTTGCATTTACTTCTAGCAGAACACTTTCCCCCAACTCTCTCCTCCTTTCTGTCTCCTTCAGGTTACTGGGAAGCCACTGCCCAATCTTTTTTATCTGGAGAACTGTTTTGCAGCTTAGTCCCAAAACCTACGTGATCTCTCCCAGCAGAGCTGGGCCAGTCACTATCTTGGGTCATTAGGACACCCATACTGTATGTTACAGATGTCCATAACTTTGAATAGAAATGGTAATGTTATTGCTCTTGCTGCAGGGGTAATAGAAAAAAATTAAGTCAAGCTGTCTACAAGAAAGGAAAAAGTGAATCTGATTCACAATAAGTTTTCCACCGCACCCACAAAACAGAACCTTCTTTCCTTTCATACATCAGATCATCTTGTAAGATAAAATAAAGGTCTTTTCCAGATGAAAATCTTTTCTGTTTTATGTAATAAGAGTATGACCTCTTTGGTTTCTGGTTAGTAGTCCTTCCCTGTAGCTTACTGTTGATCTTTTAAAGTCGTCACTGACAATATACTAATATAACTGCCTCATAGGAGGCTTTATTTTCAGCTCCCTAGTGTGCTTTTCATGCTTTAGCAAATGTTTTATTCCCTGGTAGCTGTCAGTCTGGTGTGAATTTGGCATTTTTTTGTTTGCACACAGTACAGCCAACACTAATAAAATAAAACATGGAATGGCTAATCTCATCAGTCCTAATTTTTTTCTGTGATGAAATCTCTTAGATGCCACTGTGCTTGCCTTTCAATGTTGCTGTTACCTGTGTTTACTCCTCCAGTGAATATCCAAGCTCCAGTTGTCATGGCAGCCTTAATGAGGCCTTTTCCGAAGACTTGCTTGAGTTTTGGCTGAAGTTCAAAATTCTGAAGGCCCCCGTGCACAGAGATGAGAAGTTTAGGGAGCTCAAGCTGCCACTCTTTGGTCATCAGATGCAGAAGAAGGTCAGGCTTTGTGTCAAAAGACACACGTACATACTGCAGAAATAAAGGTGGTAGTAGATAAAAAGGATTGGTTATATTCACTGGTTGCTAATACACACGATCTATGCCCAACAGATTACTGAAAAAAACCCCAACATTTATGACAAAAACGCTAATTGATAACTCCACCGGCTGCGGAGTGACTGGGGCCGGGGGGGGCCGAGGCGCGGCCTGGGCTGTAGCCGGGGCCAGAGCTGGTGGAGGTGTGGGCCTGGCCGGAGCAGCCGGAGCTAGTGGGGGGGCAGCCGGTGCCTTGGCTTGTGCTGCTGGCTGTTGGGGGGCAGCCGGTGCCCTGGGGGCCGGTGCTGGTGGGGGGGCAACCGGTGCCTTGGAGGCTGGAGTCGGCATGGCCTTGACCGCTGGAGTTGGGTGGCCTTGGCCGGTGCCGCTGCAGGCGGGGGAGCGGCCGGGGCTGGGGCTGGTTCAGTTTGTGTCTCTGCCCTCTCTGATCCCACCCGTGTCTGAGTACAATACTGCACGCTGCATAACGCTCACTCCTGCACCAATACTTAATAATAATAAATCCTGCCTGCATTACATTCAGTAAAATCGACAGCACTGTCACCATTAAGTGACGATAATCACAACAATCACAACAATTCTCCAAAGAGCCCACAGGTTTTTCATCCTCCAATTCCGTTATTATCACTTCGGGATAATCACTAACAGGCAAAGTAAACTTTCCCCAGGTGAAATCAGAAGTGAAATTAGCAACAGAATCAACCCCCTGATGCCCAAGAGATGCAGGTATCATAGCAATCACACTGATCACATTATACATCTGGAGGCAAATCCACACGAACATAGCACGCTTGACCCACCACATCCAGACACAAAAAACAAATAAGCCCTTCAATATATTTGACCAGTCAAACATCAGCGTGTTAACAAACTTCATACAAAGCTCTCTGACAACATCATATAAAATGTTCTGTAGGAACGACATGATGTAAGCTGTCGGTTTTCTCTAAACAAGCTGGAATTCAAACTATTCAAACAATCTTATCAGAGCTCGGGTAGTGCCACAATCATCGAGCCCCACGTTGGGCACCAATAATTCCGTCGTGGTTTCAGCCGAAATCCGCAACTGGACCGACAGATGGCCCTTCCCCCCGCCTCCCGAAAGAGGAGAGGAAGAGATAAGGAGATTGAAAAGTTCAGAATTAACTAAACTACTTTAATGAAAAATTAATATTAAAATAAAAAAGAGAGAAGAAAATAATGAAATAGATACAATATATATATAAAACTGTATCAAGCTCCCAGGATGACAGTCCCATCACCAGCAGGCACTGGGGAAGTCCCAGCCTGGACTCAGTGATGGATGGGAACTGGGTTCCAGCTCTGGAGTCAGGAACACATGGATTGGGATCAAAGGCAGATGAACTGACAAGGTCCTCTTCGGATGTTGGCCATTGCAGGAAGAGAGCTGACCCTTTGATCCCTCAGCTTTTATACTGAGCATGGGGCAGATGGGATGGAATACCCCTGTTGGTCAGGTTTGGGTCACCTGTCCTGTCCGTTCCTCCCCACAGGTGTGACCCCTCTACGTTTTTCCATTTCTGACCCTCTAAGGGGCAAATAACGAAAATTGGCTGACCTTGGTTGTTACAGCAATAAGTATAAGTAAGGGCCTCTCTGCATACCATTCCCTGGCATTTAGCACAAACATTGATCTTATCACTCTGAGAACGAGCAGTTTTCTCCACAATACGCCGTTAATTTCAGAGAGTTAGAGAGGCCTAGCTGAAACGTAAAGTTACAGAACACAAAATTGATCTGGTTTTACTTCAAACTGGGACATTAAGTTAGGAAACTAGGAAACTAGAAATAATGGAACACTTGTAATTCATAGGCTCGACAATTTTCCTTTATATAGGAAATTAACTCCATATGATTAGCAATGCTTAAAAGAGAAATGTCTTTAATTTATGGATGTAAAAGCTGAAGCAAAAATTTAAGTGGTCTGCCACAGATAACATAGGTGCATGACTGTGCAATCACTTGTATCTTATTTTCAAACTAACACAATCAAACTCTCAAAAGGTAGGAAATAACAGAACCCAGCACTGTTGTTTAAGCACGTATAAGTTTAAATTGAGCAAGACTATTAAACAAGTACTTTTCAGATGAACGAATGCTAATGTATGACTTATAGACTGATTCATGAATTTGCCTAACATGGCACAGGACCCTAACAGAGCTTTGAAACACATTTACACGTTTCCAGTTCTTTGCCCTTCTGTACTACATCTGCAGCATTTTGCCCCAAGGGGGAGCATGCCCACCTGTGTGTCTTCAAAGTTTCTACAGCACTACCATGTTGCACACAGACCTGTCTCTTCATGACAAGTCTTTCTCTCTGGGGCTCTTTCTCCTGCTCTTTCTGTTGCTGATGTATGAAGGGTTTCACAAAACCCGTAAACGGGTCAGATGATACCTTTCTGGATTCTAAGTGGCACAGAAGAAATGGGCCATCAGAGGGTAAAATTCTTTCTATAGCTGGTGAGATGGGGAAGGACACTCTTAATTGAATAAAATAAGTTGTAGAAAGCCTCTCATCTGTCAAGCTCCTGATTGAACCAATGCATATAGAGTTGTTTCTGTAGTCTTTCCCTTGATGGGTCATTAGCACAGCCATCACCTGTTTAGTGCAAGCACCTTTGATTTCAGCCAGAGGAATGCCTAGTTCTAACTTATTTATTGTAACATGCCAGGTAGTATAATATCCATGCATTATGTAATAATTTTGTCCCTTTTTAACATGTCTAGTCCGTATTTCTTGCCAAAAGACCGTTCTTTTTTAGTAAGTCATATGACAGTGAAGTACACTCCTTGCTAGTTGAGTAAGAAATTAGGACTTGACTTTTTCCAGAAGAAATTGCTAATAGACAGGTTTCTTTGCAAGAATGGGTTGTTGTACAGTGAACAGCCATTCTCAATATTTCTGGAAGCAGAAGTCTTTTTGGGCAAATAGTCACAAGGGAAGCAAGAGGGACACAAACTGAAAGCTGAGCAAGAACTTGGGAATGCACATTCACCTCAGGGCATCAGTGATGTTCTCTGCAGCAGCCAGGCAAAATTATAACAGCTAATGGACAAAGAGCATGCAATATTTATGCCTAGCAAGAGCATAATGTACCCTGGAGCTTTTATATACACAAACGGCACCCTCAGTAGCTACCCATTCAATTTGCTGTGTGGGAGTTGAGAAAATCTTGCATGGTACCTGATCCCACTGACCAGATGGTGAAGCTAATAATTTTGATTAGGGTTCAAGGGCTGTCAAAATTTTAAGACACCAGAGGGGTTTTAAGGAGACTGATTCTTATCCCGTTTGCTCTGCCTTTAGGGAGAGCTGAGGTTACAGAGGGCAATGCCTTGTTACACTGCAGGCATTAATATATGGACAACATCCTTCAAGTGGGCATACATGAAACCTCTGCTGGTCAAACTGTGGAGATTATGTTTTGGGATCACTGGTATCATACTCTGTTTTTTGGTGAAGGCAGCCTGCAAGTTTTAAGAACATAATTAAAGTGAATTTATATTTGTAAGGGCCATATAAATTTGCTGAAAACAGAGGCCACTGCACCATCTCTTTTGAAATTAAGATCAAGGCACAAATGGCATCAGATGTGTATTACCTAATCCAGTCATTTTTTTGATTCCTTAGCATTGTTTTATACCCCAGAATGTGTGACTTCACTGTCCTGGTCTTCCTAAGCCTATGTATTGATTGGCAAAAATCTCTTTCATTTACTTATCCACTAAGACCTCTGAATTTCAATAAATATCGATCTTTACAGTGAATCCCAAAGTCAGAAGAAATATTTTTTTTATATTTATTACAAAAAGATGCAGGCAAAATCCCTTTATACTTATGATAAGAGATTTATGATAATTTCCTCTTTATAAAGAGGAAATTCAAGCAAAAATAAATCTGAAAGTTTTTTTCATATAAATTCATATAAATTAAAAATTAAATCATCATGGATAGGCTTCACTGTTTCTGAAGCCTTTGGAGAAGGGCAAAGGCCCAAACATTGTGATTTTTCTTCTGTGCATAGACCTGAATTTTTATGACTGTCTGATTCATTTTTGCTTTTACAGAGGGCATTTTCAGTTTGGTGTGCTTGAGATTACTCTTTTGCCATTTAACTAGTAAGTACAAGAGAATTCCTTTGTCATCACTTTCAAAGTATGCATTAAATTATGAGTAAATACTTTTAAGGCCATTTTTGTCCATATTAAAAATTCATTTCTTTCAAACTTGTAGCAGGATATTGGGCCTTTTCAGTTTTTGTTTAGAATCTTAATGAGTATTTCTGCCATTCCTGAATTCTTTTGCTATAAACTCCGGAGGCAGATTTAAAATTGAAATGTAAATCTAAGCCAAACCACTGCTCTGTTACCCTGAAATTCCATGTCTAGTGTATCTGTCAGCTGTAAAAATGATTGATTCTAATGACAAATGATTTAACCCCTTCTTTACGGGGGTGCTGTATGGATAAGATGGAACAATTCAGTTCCTATGTGTCTGCAGAGCAGGGCAAGATAGGAAGCAGAAGTACAGTTTTGAACCACAAAACCTATGGATTGACCTGACTGACATCAGCATAACACTGTGAAATGAGAATCACAAAGTTCAAGCTGTCATGCCCCTTTGATCCTGGATCTAGCACAGACGTAGTCAGCAAGGGTGCCACTTGGTGACAGTAGTCATTTCATTTTCTTATCAAGTGGTTTCCTAAAAAATTACTGTGCCCATCATCAGTCAAATAGTCAGATGCTTGTGAGTTGGACTCCAGAGCCTTAGGGCAAAAGTCAAAGTTCCTGAATGATAAAATTACTACTCTGTTACTCAAGCAGAACTGTCTCATTAAAGTAGGTGGTGAATGATTGCAGATGAGAGTCTCAGTGAATAAAATAGAAAGATTCACAATTTTGTTGCATTTCTCTACAGAGAGCACCTTTTGATCTGCAGTCTACCTTTGCTCCTTTGTTTCTCTTTGATACATGCAGCACTAGATGGCTATTTCACCTATCTAAGTAAGATTCCATCACTGCAGACCCTTCTTCAGCTAAAGGCCGGTTCCCTCAGAGGGTGATCTTCACATAAAAAATAGGCCTGATGTAATTTTCACCAAATTCAGCAGAAAAAATATCAGTTAGACTGAAACCAGATTGGTTCCTTATAAGTTAATATTCTTCTTAACCTCTTAAGGCCTCATCCAAGTTCCCCTAAAGAGTCAGTGCAAGGACCCTCATTGAGTTAAATGGGCTTTGGCAGATGCTTTTTTTTTTGTGTGTTCTTTCCCTTTTGTCTCCACATAGGACACCGTCTTTTAAGTTCTGTAAATGTTCTTTAAGTATTAATTTACTAGGACAAACCCCAATGTTTGCTGCTTTTTTCATGGTTTACTCAAGTTACAGGATTTTCTCTTTTTTTTTTCCTCTCAAATGCACTGATGGCTTTTAAGATCCATTTTACACATTTTTGATAAAACTCATTATATTTTAAAAGCAGAAATATACCTTTTCATGTGACTGATTTCCAAATATCCTTAATACAGTAAAATGTTTTGAGGATCTAGATATAGATCTGTCTAAGAAACTGTATATGTACATTGGAATTCTGCTGATGTTCTTTCATGTTTCCATGCACCATAAGAAAGGAGAAGTTTATAACACTGACGTAAACTTTATTTCTTCTACAGCTGCAAACATACGTTAGCTTTTCATTGTCTATATTAAATTTATCATCGGAATGCATTCAATTAGGAGAAATGCGTTTAACTCACTGAAGCTTTTCAGAGAGCCGTCTTCCACCTATCCTTGAAAAATCATAATCAAAGAAATATCAGTTCTGTGAAGAGCACTCCTTTAAAAAAAGTTGATATGGAGTCCAGGCACACCAATTAATACAAGAATGTCAAAGGTTTTTTTGTGTGTGGAAAGGCAGATAGAAAATTAAAAAAAAATGGTTTAGCTTAATCACAAATTCAGTGCAAAGTGCATCACAGCAAGATTGTCTTTACTGGTCCACTAATGACCAGGAGCTATTTTGAAATTGTTCAGAATTTTGATCATAAATGGGGTGCAATCACTTACACTAGTTTGGTAATTGATCTCTGAGCTAGGGTAATAAATTGCCAGCTTATAGGTAGATAAATTCATCCATGTTATTTCTTAAGCTGCTAAGAGATGACTGATGCAAGCAGATCACACTTTATTAATTTTCCTATATTTTTTAAATCCATTGATTTATTGCAAAAGCTGGTAATAAGGTTTGCATATCTCCACATCCCTCTCAGGTCTTTTTACAGTTGTCAAAATTGAAAATCTGCCATAAAAACAATGTAAGTATGAACAGCAAAACTGTTACATGTGTTTATTCAACATTAGTGGGATGAGCCACTCTATAGTAACTGATTGATAACCGATGTTATCTAATGTTGGCAATATGTTTCTTATATAGTCTGCTGCACTCTCAGCTATTCATATTATCAATTTAAATAGCTTAGTCCAGCCCCACTGAAGATACTTTAACAACTCAAAATTCATGCTGTTTGAGAATTTTTGTTCTATGTGGCTGTGGAAATGAAATTAATGGCACAGTTCTATTGGCAATATGTAAATCTACATTGTTTGTTCTACTTTATTCCAAATCCATGTGCAATTTCAGTGTAATGTTCATTTTCTCAGCTAAAGATGCCACTGTTAGTTGTCTGGTGGCAACCCATAGTTGTATTATATCACTTGCATTTGTAGCTTGCAAATATACATGCAAAGTATCATAGATTTACTATCATATTTAGATATATATTATTAAAATATAATTCTGGTACTTTCAATAGAGGAAATAATTGTCCGTCAGTCTTACACATACTTATCTGTTCCATTAATTAACTACTTGTTTCCCAATCATAAATCTCAGGTTATGGTTTCCATGAATAAATCTCATCTCATTCCCTGTAGCCCGATTGAAAAAAATTGCCAAGGTTTACCTTGTTAATATTTTTCACGTGCGGGCATCCATTTTAGGAAATAAAGTAAGTAACAGGTGGTGAATTTTATGCCAAATTCTTCCCCTGATAATTTCCTTAATGTTGGTCAGCTTGCTAAATCTTTCTGCTTTATAGGGTCATTCTAGTAGCCAATAGGTAAAATATTAACCTACCACGACTGTCAGCAAAAATCAGCATGTATGCTAACAGTGATATGTGATATCTTGTAGCTAGAAAATAACTAAGTAGAATATTTTTAGAAAAGACAAACATGCATTTAGTATGTTTTCTCCATTTTCTCTCTCTCTCCTTCCGCCCTTTCTCATGAAGAGAGTTTTAAAGCACCATATCCGTACATGGTTAATGGCATGATGGTTGCTCTCTGAATCTTAGTTTTGGTGAAAAGTATTCTGTTTTCTTCCCATACCTTGTGAAGATACCAACAGCAGGGTTTGGCTCATTTCAATGCTGAAGGAGGTGTCATTTTATTCACAGTAAACAAATGTTAGTTACTGACTCAGAGTCTCTTCCCAGCAATGGCCTTGCAGATTTTTAGGTGATTGGTTATCAAATGAACATAAGGCATCTGTGATACTTTCAGAGATACGACCTGATTTTCTACCTGTTTCTTGATGCAACAGTGTTTTCTGGTTTCTTTCAAAAGAAACCATCCATCTGAATGAACAAAACCATCCACTCTAATCATTCAATCTCCAGCACCTATGAATCCATCTGAGGTGCTGGCTCTTGTATCTGGCTCTTGCTAGCATAGTACCCGATCTCTTCATTGTCTCTAATCCAACCAGTGCCACGACAGATCTGAGAGACCTGTTGGGAAGAAGTCAGGCAAAGAAGATGCTACTGGGTAGCTCAGCAGGTTATACCGCAGAGTGCCCAGGGGTTCCGCTTCAAGCCCCACTGCTTCTCAAAGCAGTATCTTGGCCAAGATGTGCTACGTACAGACTAATATTTCACTCCCAAAGTCCCAGGTTCTGCAGTTTAGATAGAGCCAGAGAGATTCTTCCTTTCATGTAATGCCACAAAAAAAAAATAATACATGCATGAGTTACTGCGGAAACACCCCTCCAATTTAGTGGAGCAATGGCTTCAGCAATACTTTGGTATAGCTCCATAGCATTGTATTATCATTAAATGACTTGCTCAAGGAAATCTGTGGCAGAATAGGGATTTCCCAAGTCCTAGCCTAGACACTTACTGGACCTCTTATTCCATTGAAAGATAAACCAGTAAGTGTAACTGGTCTATTCTCCGATACATGTCTGGAGGAATATTAAAAGAAATTTGGTATATTTCAATTTTTTCAGTCTTGCAGACACACACAGCAATGGGGAACCTTGGTTGAATTCCAAAGTCATCCAGAAAAAGAGGGATGGCTAGCCTTTGGAAGAAAATCGAGATAGCAGCACAATAGCATGTCTTCAGTTTTCATAAAGGTCGCCCTTCTTACACCGCACTCCAGCTTTTACAGTTATTTCTGTTCACCAATTCTTTGGCATGTGATAAATAAAAACATATGGTATGGTCTTGCACTAAATAATACATTAAAATGAAGTTAAGAGAGAATGATGTTTATTCTTTGTGAATGCCTTTTTTGAGCTAGTAGCATTATCTATCTATAAGAAAAACATGGTTACCATGGCTTTATTGGAGTGGCCTCCTCCTTGGAACTCAATGGTTCCAAAAGCGTCCGTCGGGCTGAGCTGCGTGTGCTTGCTGATGGACCACTTCTCCGACTGGATGTCATTGCGAGTAAGCCTGCTTTCATTTTTCTCATTCTGAATAACGGAGATGCTTGGAGTCAGTCCAACATGTTGACCTATTAGACGCCCACAGCAACACCTATGACAGTAAACAAACAGAAAACTCAGGTCACGTGCATATATAAACTAAACAGGGAAACAAAACAACTTAAATGGCTGACAAATCTTCAAAAAACGCCCACCCTTTTCAACTCTGCTGGCCACTTTCCTGCTCTCTGAAGCCTTTTGTTCTGAAAGCAACATAGTACAAATACTACCATTTCTTTCTATATCTTGTTTACTTTGGACTCTCCTATATATTAGCAGGGCCTGTGGTGATTGGACAAGCGGTAATGGTTTTAAACTAAAAGAGGGTAGATTTAGACTAGACGTAATGACATTTTTTACAATGAGTGGTGAAGGTGGTGAAACACTGGAACAGGTTGCTCAGTAAGGTGGTAGATGCCCCATCCCTGGAAACATTCAAGGTCAGGTTGGACATGGCTCTGAGCAACCTGATCTAGTTGCAGATGTCCCTGCTCATTGCAGGGAGTTGGAATAGATGACCTTCAAAGGTGCCTTCCAATCCAAATTATTCTATAATTCTATGATTCTATGATATTTCAATAAAATCATATTTTGTTGTAAATATATCTTCAGATGACATCAGGCCAAAAAATCAGTTTCTGCATGGACTAGCACATATTTTAGTTCAACTGCAATTATTTTCTTCTGACATTATTGTGTGTCATGGATTCAATTTTGGTAAATATTCAAGGCACTCAATATTGAACTAAGAAGATAAAGAAAATGAACATAGATGCTCATCCACCTTTAATTTATCTTTTTTTTTTGGAGGAAATTAGTTTGGGAATGTAAACAAATAGTGCCCATAGGAATCCATCACTCCAGATGTAATTCAACCACATTCTGATCAGATAAGTCTTTACAAACTATTTATATACATATAAATATTTATGCACACACATATATAGACATTAAGTAGCATGCAATTACCTATGGGGGTCTTTGGTGCTGGGTATGATATGAACACATTCTCTCTTGTAAAATGCTCTTTCTATCCATGATTTCTGTGCCTAAAAAGCAGAAAGAAAATGCCATGAGCTCTGTTTGCTTATTAAACACAACTTATAGTACAACTGAAGAGAAACTTCAAACATAAAAGAAGACTTCACTGACTTTGCAGATACACAGCACACATTTTGCACAGAGCAAACATTTTCCATTAGAACTATTGTTCCCTTCTAGAGCTAAGCACCCAACATAACCTTTTGTGATTGTTTTCATATTCAGTAGCCAGATGACTTTGATGTTTTCATCTGTATTCTCATAGCAAGAATCACTGGAGAAGAATTAATTCGAACTGTAAAGCTTTCTGCATAGTAGAGAAATAGCATACTTATTCATTAAAAATATTTTTTAAAAATCCATTTCCATTTTAGTGATACAACTAAGTCAGCATTAATAAAAAAATAATCTCAGAAACTAGAAAATAAACATCTCACAATAAAACTTACAATGCCATGATACCACTTCAATTTTTAATACGAGTACTGAAACTGCTGTTTAACACAGAGCCAGAAGCTACACTTTCATATATGGATATCTTAATCAAAAAAAAACAAAAAAAAAGGAAGATCTGTTACTGAAATTAGACACCAGAGGTTACATCAGATGACCAGCTGATGTAACCTCTAAAACTGACTGGGTTCAATGAAGATATGCCTGTTTGTAGCACTCAAGATCCTCCCCCAGATATTTGCAGGAAAGCAAATCACTTCCCTCAGTGTAGTCTTAATTTTCAGATATGCAGAGAAATGGGTAGGAAAGAAAAATATAACAAAACAACAAACAAGACTTTCAGAGTTCTGAAATCTTTTTAATTTTCTAGATAGTCCTCACTCCATGTAATATGAATTCCGGAAACCTTTCCAAAAGATTTCCTCAGACAGAATTAAATTATTTCATTTAATAAGGAGATGAGTTGAAACTTTCATTTAAAAATTGATTTCAAACAGATAAATGTATTTAACTAAAAAATTGCCTATTTAATTGTGCAGCATAAACAGAACTACAAACTATGAACTATGACAAAGTTATCTGAGAATTAAGTAATGTGAAATGAGTTTTAGATGGATTTAAAGGAAATCTGAGCATCTTGTTTCTAAAGAAAAAAAAATATAATTTGAAGTTGCCTCTATAACACCACCTGACTAACTAATGTTACCTTTTACCATGTAAGGCTAGGGAGTAACTAGACTTAGATAGTTAAGTATTACCTTTACTAACTAATATTACCTTACTAACTAATGTTACCTTTTTGTAAACTCAATCTGCATCCCATTTTTCATGTTTAAGCCCAGAATAATGTGTTTCTGTGGCTTTTGAAAATCATTGTGAACTGCGGTAATTTCTTAGGGTCAATGAATACCACTAATATAAACTGCAAAGTACTTTATGGAAAAGTTCTAGCTACATTCATTACTTATCGCTCTCAGTACATAAAAAGTTATTATTTTGCCTTTTTCACAGAAGATAATCCCTTATTGGATCTCGTGGTCACTCACGTTACATAATATTTCATTTTTGCATAGGGCATTTTTATTTGAAAAATCTGCTAGACATCATATTTCATGAAATGACAAACATCCTAACATGACTTTTACAGTCAGGAAAAAGAAAAGTCTATTAAAAACACTAAATAGAACTGTATTTGATTGCTCTTCCTTACTGTAGCAAACAGAAAGTTAATGTATTATAGAGTGTGGGGTGAGGTTTGTTTCATGGTTAAGCAGAGGACAGTTAAATAGGAATCCTGAAAAACCTAAAAAAGTTTTGCTTTTTATAGGCGAGATTACTTGAAGATCTAATTTATTATATCTCCTGAATGTTTACAAGTCTATGATGAGGGCAATAATAATCATCATCATCACCACAGCATTTTATATCATAGAGGCAAATCACCCTAAAAGTCTAGGCTTTTAATAAACTAAGTTTCTAGAACTGTCAGGGCATCTAGAGTGAACTTTATGAACTTCATTTGACCCTCTTACTGCAGAATCTTTGAAACTAAACTACATGGAAAAATTAGGGTTTTTCCTTTTGTTGAGTCTTGTAGAGAAAGAAAGGAAGTTACAATTATTATTGACGTATTGCAATGCTAACATTGAAATTATAAACTTCACTGTATGGTCCACACATTCTTGAAACTTCTCCCCTTTGTAATCCAAGAGTACACAAGCTTTCTATGTTGCCTTAAGAAGATGCACACTAATAAGAAGCTGAAGATTTATGAATCCCCTTTGTTGTCTAAATATATACACAGTAACCTTTTGACAAAAAAGGAACACTTATAGAGTAATGTCAATTTTATCCTCATGCTTGTTTGTTTTAACTCTAAATACATGCCTGAAATATGCTCTATCTTCTCTAGAAAGCATGAAAAGCTTTTATAAAACAACGTTTCTTCCCAGCATCCAAAATCATCTCCTGCTGCAGACCTTACATAGCACATGATTATCATTCATATTGCAAAGACTCACTGAAAATATCCTCTACTAAATTTCATAAATTTTGCATAATTTTCTGCAAATAATTCACCCTAGTGAATTCACTTACTACAAAGAACACTGTATCTTTTCTAAAGAAGGCCACTGATTCAATTTTTCTGAGCCTTAAGATACAATACATAAGAGGAGCCATAACAGGCACTTCACTGAAAACTTTTTTCTTTAGGTATACAAGCAGGCTTTCACAAATCAAGAACTGACATCTACAATTTTTTCTTTGCTGTTCTTTTTCATACTGTCTTTGTAAGTAGAAAATAAACTCGACTATGTAAAATATAATAATAATTTGCATTTGAAGTTTTATCATACTTCTTCAAATGTAATATCGCAAGAATAGTAGTCTAATTTTAAAAGTCCTTTATTCACATAGGGAAAAAAGACTTTCCAGCCCTTTGATCTCAAACAATATACTATCCGACCTGACAGAATCCTAGTAATGGCAAAATAAACCATTTACTCATTTCATAATTCCTTGTCCTTCCAAACTAAAAAGAAAACATCTGGTTTCACTGCCCTGTGCCAGTTATATTTCTGTGACAGAGATCATTTAGAATGAAACAGAAGGTTCAGAGTTATAATAAATTATGTTACTTGCTGTGGAGTCTTCATAACAAAATTAGAATAACTTGATGAAATCAACACATTCATAACAAAACAGTCTGCATTAAACTCTTGTTTATAATGTGAATTAATAAAGTAGTAAAAAGTTTAGAAAAGTATAGCAAAGTATTTTCAAGAATAGCAGAGCAAGAAGGTTATCTTCTCTTATTTCATGAACAATTTTTCATTAGTAATTCATAAGACAATTTAAAGTCCACAGTGAATTTCTAAGGTACATGCAATTCTTATACCTGGATTTAGCTTACTTATAACTTAGATCTCTAGGTTAAGTCTCTCTCTCTATTAAACTAGCTGCAAAATCCCACCAAGAGCATTTTCTCTCCCTCCTGTTTACCTGAGCATTAAACTCGGTGTTTCAGTCTGTCCCGGAGCAAACTCTGCTGCCCACGTTTCCCTGCTGCTGGTCATCGACAATAACACATCTGCGACTGTCCCCCGAGCGAGGCACTCGGTCCATCCGCAGAGCAGAGATGTGAGAGCGAGTGGAGCCCTTGCACCCATTAGCTGCTTGGAATGTGCTACTGTGGGATTAGCCTCGTTAAGGGTTCGGTGGACACTGACCCGCAGCCCCACAACACCGCTTGGTTTGAACATCTAATCTGACGCCAAAAGAAAAAGAGCTTGGATTTAACTGGCACAAGCCTTGACGGGCTTTTTCCACCCCCTCTTCTTTCCCGAGCTTGTGAAAGTGTGATAAGGTGCTCCGAGTTCTTAGGTTCAACCCAGGAAAACAAATCCTTCAAAAGAAACACTGTACTAAGCTGGAAAGAACCTGAGCACACAAGAGAGATTGTTAATCTCTGAAGAATGAAACCAGTGTGCTTATTAGGTAACTGTGAGAAATCTATACACAGCTGAAATATATTGCAATTAATCAACAACGGCGTTTTTCCAAAGAAGCTGGGGTTTGTCACTCATTTTCACCACAGATGCCCTACTGTAGTGAATGTAACTTTTCAGAAAGTCATAAACATAAAACTTTGTCTTTCAGGGACAAGCAACTGCATTGTTTTCAGTTTAATTAAAAGTTAGTAACTTAAAACACAACTTTAATATTTACAAATTTGGGAACTACTTCTTTACTGTACCCTCTTGATATCAGCACTGAATCACAACCCTTTCATGTTAAAAACACTTAGATCTTTTTATTACATAGCAATGATATGTGTTCATTTACTTATTTCCAAAGTTTTTTCAAATAGAGAGTATTTTCACTCTTCCCCCACCCCCCAAGTCTGGAAGAATTCCTCTCTACTCCTACATACGCATACATACCCTCCTTTCCCTTTCAATAAGGCTGAACCTAATGCATGGAGAACATTCTGTCCACCCTTGGCACGGATAAATACACAGGCTCTAAACTGTTCTGCGCGTACTTTAGCCTTGGCAGTCCCAGGATGGACAAGGCTGAGCATATGCATCAGCCTCTAAACTTCTTATACCATTACACATGATAAACTTCTGCTAGGCTGGTTATCCATGAGATTTTCCATCTCTTTTGGTTTGCTGATTTTTCTGCGTAAAATAAATGCAAGTATTTTGTATATAATGTATGTATGAAGTGTGTATGCATATATATACACACTCTGTTGCAGCAAAGCTATGGCCTGTGAGATTTCTCTACCACACAGTTCAGAGCAAATAGAGACCACGTGCACATCTTGTGAGATCTCTTTAACACAGGATCAGACAAGAGATGGTCTGTGGAGAACAGCAAAGGCAGAGAAAATTGCAGGGTCAAGAGAGCAGCTAGCAAACAGCTCAATGAAGTAAAGAACTGGGGAGTCAGCAAGAAAATGCTGCTTGCATTTTAACACAAGGGAATTTTGTTTGGTTGAGAGGGCAGAGAAAAGTGAGGAAAGGAAAGGTTTCACATGATTGAGATA